CACATCTTTTTGTATTTTAAATATTTTCAAAGTGTAGCTCTATACACTCATGCATTCTTTTTTTTTTTTTTTTGACAGAGTTTTGCTGTGTCATTCAGGCTGGAGTGCAATGGCATGATCCCGGCTCACTGCAACCTCCACCTTCAGATTCAAGCAATTCTCCTGCCTCAGCCTCCAGAGTAGCTGGGATTACAGGTATGTGCCACCACCCCCAGCTAATTTTGTATTTTTAGTAGAGACGGGGTTTCTCCATGTTGCTCATGCTGTTCTCAAACTCCCAAACTCAGGTGATCCGCCCACCTCGGCCTCCCAAAGTATCAGGATAACAGGCATGATCCACTGTGTCAGGCCCAGTAAAAACTTTTATTTTTATATTTTTAGCTGGGTGTGGAGGCATGTGTCTAAGTCCCAGCTACTTGGGAGGATCATTTGAGCCCAGGAGGTTGAGGCTGCTATAAGCCATGATCACATCACTGCACTCCAGCCTGGGTGACAAAACGAAACCCTGTCTCAAAAACAAATAATAAAAATAAAAAACATTTTATTTTTAAAAAGGATTAAAAGGGTTCTTAATTTCGTCATTCACATAATTTCTAATCCTTGGTACTACCAGTCCCTTCCGGAGTAAGCTGAGGACCCAGTGATCCCTGCTAGGGAAGGCCTTACCTCTTTATAGAGAGGAGTCCATCTGGTACACTTGGGCTGCTGGTAACTCTTTGGTAGGGTTCGATAGCTGGAGCCCAATCGTTTACAAGAGGCGTAATCTATCTCCATGGCAATGCCCTCTGTGGCTCGCTCCTTTGGAAAAGTTTCCAGATGTACAGACTCCTTATATCCCAGAAAGTTTTTAAACCAATTAAACAACTCAGGGAATTTCCTAAAGAATCAAACCAAAAAGCGACAAGCAATCAGAGGCATGGGGTTTCAGATCAGAAACCTACTACCAGGGACAAATTCTTTCCTGCCTAAGAAGCACTGCTTCTGAACATCTGATTTCCCCTTTTTCTAATAAAATACGCTCGGATCAGTTAAAGTGGTGATGAAAGAGTTGTACTGAAACGAGGCAAAATAACAAGCCATTCTTTCAATCAAAAATATTGCTTTAATGTTCACATAATTCTTAGGTTGTCAAATACAGAAAAGATTCCAGAACTCTGGGAGAGAAAAGGCTGAGCGTGGTGGCTCAGGCTTGTAATCCCAGCACCTTGGGAGGCCGAGGCAGGCGGAGCACCTGAGGTCACAAGTTTGAGACCAGCCTAACCAACATGGAGAAACCCCGCCTCTATTAAAAATAGAAAATTAGCTGGGCAGGGTGGTGCATGCCTGTAATCCCAGCTACTCAACAGGCAGAGGCAGGAGAATTGCTTGAACCCAGGAGGTGGAGGTGGCAGTGAACCGAGATCGCACCATTGCACTCCAGCCCCGGCAACAAGAGCGACTGTCCATCTTAAAAAAAAAAAAAGACTCCAGAACTCTGGGAGAGATTTGTCTCAATAAACATCCAGCACTGGTCAGAAGATCAGGGTCCACCAGTCTTGGACATTAGTCAATAAACACTTACTGCCCTCACTATCTTCTCACCTCTAGAGTTGGACTAGAAGACTTCTCGGGACTCTTTTGACACTAACATTTGAGTCAACTGACCTATCTCCAGTAAATTAACTGTCTGTCACCTACTCTCACAAATCAAATACTACCAGGCCTCCATAACACGCATCAAAAGTAAGCCCCTCACTTCACTTACCCCAGGAAAGGAGAGACTAGTTGCACAAGAGGCTGAGTTGGGAAGGTTGCTTCCAGCCGTTCCCACACCACTGCATACCAGCCTGGGTAACAGAGTGAGTGCTAATGTAAAAGAAAGAAGAAGGAAGGAAGGAAGGAAATAATAAAGGGCTGGGCACAGTGGCTCACACCTGTAACCCAGCAGTTTGGGAGGCTGAAGTGGGCAGATCACTTGAGTAAAGGAGTTCGAGACCCAACAGGAATATGGCAAAACCACATCTCTATGAAAAATATAAAAATTTAGCCAGGCGTGGTGATGTGCACCTGTGGTCTAAGGTATTCAAGAGGCTGAGGTAGGAGGATCATTTCTGCCCAGGAAGGTTAGGCTGCAGCGAGCTGTGGTCAAGCGGCTGCACTCCAGCCTGGGTAACAGAACGAGACCTTACCTCAAAAGGAAAGGAAGAAAAAAGGGCTGGGCACGATGGCTCAGGCTTACAGGCCAAGGTGGGAGGCTCGTTCGTGCCCGGGAGTTTCAGGCTGCAGCCAGGCGTGACCATGACATTGCACTCCAGCCTGGGTAACGGAGCAAATTCAAAAAAAAGAGACGGCGGGGCACAACGGCTCAGGGCTGTAGTCCAGCACTTGGAAAGGCCGAGTCTCGACTCACCCTCCGGCCTCAGCTCAGGCTGACGGGACCGCCCTGAGGCAGAGGCTGCCCGGACCCCGCGGCCAGGCCGCCCCTGCTCCGGGACCTCTCGCCGGTCTGCGGGCGTCGGTGTGGGGCCGGCCGGGTGCGCGGGCTTTCCTGCGTGCACACGTGTGCGGGGCCCGAGCGAAAGGAGAGCGTGGCCCTGGGATGGCGGGTGTGCAGATGTGGGCTATGCACGGACGTGCAGGCACGGGTTTGCATGCGTGGCGGCGGCCTGTGCGTCAGCCTGCTGGATGCACGTGCGTCTCAGCGCCCCGGGAGGGGCTTGGGGACACCCGGAAGCCCGCCAGGTCGGGTGCCGCCGCTGCAGCCTCAAAGCCAAGTCGGCTGTGGGCCCAGGCACCAGAGTCATGCTCAGGGCGGGTAGGGGAAAGGGGATAGAAACGATCCGTTCACCTTCCCCTCCACTGGAGACTTGGGGCTGCACGAGGTTGGGCTGTAGCATCTGGAGAGCCCCGAGCCTCAGGTAGGGAAGGTGGGAGGTGGAAGAACACTCGCAGAGGCCTGATCCAGCCCTCCCGGAGCATCCAGATGCCGGCCACAATTGGGCAGAATCCAGCTCTTCCTGGCGTTTCCCATCGGCATCCCGAGATCCCTGGAAGGTGAAAGCAGGAAGGGAGACACAGAGCTGTTCCTTTCCCACTGCCTAAAACAGGGGTGGTGCTGCGGTGGTGGGCTCTTCTCCGAGACCCTGGCCTGGGTACTGAGTGAGGTTGGAGCATGGCAGGGAGGATCAACAGAGCTGCTTCTCCAGGATGACCTGAGCCTGCTCCCTGGGCACTTGCCCTGTCTGAGAGGCTGGTTGCCTCAGTACGGGTCAGGGAAGGAGGCACCTACATTTTGGCAACTGTTTTGAGTGGAGGAGCAGCCTCCCTTGAGGGAGTGTATCCTGGGCTCTCCACCTCCTACTGGCAGGAGAAAGGCCACTCCCACACCCCTAGGAGTTCTCTGTGGGCTCCATGGAGCCCCCACCCCTCCCACAGAGACTCCCAAGGGTCCCAGGTGGCCTCTTGTCTACTGGCTGGGTCCCAGGTGGGGGCCTCAAGAAGTCTCCAGGGCAAAGGGTATTACATGGGCTGAGGCCCAGGAGAGAGGGACTCCTGGGGTTGGGGGTGGGGACCCAACAGTCCCCAAGGAGCATGTGGGGAGGCAAGACCAAAGTCAGCACTTAATGAATCCAGAGTGTTCCAAGGGTGGGAGTGGGGAGGGTCCACACCCCAAAACCCTACAGTTCCTTCTCACCGCATTGCTGTGGAGTGAGAAGGGGGCTTGCACCCCTGGATAGCAGGTTTCTTTCGTAGGACACTGCCATTGGTACTGTCACCTGTGTCCTAATGGCCTCTCCATGTCTTCTGTAGGCTGGCCTGAGGTGTGGGGTTCTGTCCAGAAGCTGAACCAGCTTTGAGTCTGCCTTGGTGGGCGTGGGCACTGGCCCCCACACTAGCCTTGCCTTTCCTAGCCCCAGAATGTACTGGTCTAGCTCAGCCTGTGGCTGTCATTGGCTCCAGCCAGAAGTAATGAGAGGGCTGGTCCTTTCTTGCTGCTCACTGAAACTTGTGGCACTTTGCCCTAATCGTAGCAAGACTGAGCTGGCTGATCCTTTCTAAGTCACTGAGTTTCCAGGAGCAGGATGCTGGCTGGCAGAGGTAGAGGCAGGTCAGTGTAGCCCCAGCAGACAGGCTTCAGATGACTCCCTCATGGGTCACTGGGCCTCTGTTGCCCCAGGACAGTCCCCATCCTTCCTTGGTCTTGCTTTAGAGCTTTGTCTTTCTTCAGCACAGTTTTTCCATCAATACAATGGGAGTAGTGGCCAAGTAGCACTCTGTGGCCCCTGGGCCACACCCCCTGGACTTTCTTTTCTCTTTCCTTCCTTTCTTTCTTTCTTTTTTTTTTTTTTTAGAGATGGAGGCTCACTCTGTTGCCAGGCTGGAAGTGCAGTAGCACAATCTTGGCTCACTGCAACCCCTGCCTCCTGAGTTCAAGCAATTCTGCCACAGTCTCCTGCATAGCTGAGATTACAGGCTTAAAAAATTGGAGCAGATGACTTATTGGGATGCAAAGGAAATCCAGGCTCAGGTGTTCCGTTACTGAGTGAGGGTCGGGCATCACTCAGGGCTGGGCTGCCCAGCTCAGTCCTCTCCCCATACAGTTGGGCTGTCTGGGGCCCAGAGAGGGTCGGATCTATTTCTTCTGAGCTGCCTGGTGGGCAGTGGAGTCTGGGCTCCACACAGTCCCCGCCTGCTCTGAGTGGAGCTTGCAAGAGCCAGGGGCCTGGGAAGGAAGTGACTGGGACCAGGTTTCCTGCCTCTGGCTGAATCGTGTTGCCCCTGTTCTCACTCCCTCCCCTCATCCTTGGAGGCCACCTTTCTGTGTGTTTCCCTAGACCGTGATTCCAGCCTACCTTTCTTCCAGGTTCCTGCGCTCCCCAGCGTGGCTTTTAGGGCAGTCCCTGCCTGGGCCTGGGCTGGGGCTTGGGTTCTGGCTCTGGGGCTGGCATAAAGATGATGGCTATCTTATGTATGGCAGGGCCCTTTGTTCTCATGCCTCAGTTTTCCCATCTGGACAATGGGTATTGGGCCAGGCTGATGATTCCTAACCTGCTGAGCCCCTTTCCTCTCATCCTTGTACCCAAACAGCCTCTCCTGAGCAGTGCCCGCATCAGATAGAGCTCTGGGGTCACCTGTGGATAAGCCCATCTTTTTGGCTTGGAAGGTCTGGCCAGTAGGCACATGTGGGGAAGAGGTGTGATGCCAGTCTGATGTGGGGCAGAGCAGAAGCACTGTTTGGGGGGCTCTGGAGGCCAGGAGATGGGACCTGAGGGTATGGGGTCTGCAGCCTGACTGTGTGTTCGTTTTGCAGGTGACTTTGAAACTGAGGCTGGAGCTGTGTCCACCTCAGAGCCCACTCTGGCCAGATATGAGCCAGAGAGACTTGCCCTGGCTCAGAATTCACTGGTCCCCAAGGTCAGGAAGACAGGGAGGAAGCCACCAAGCCCTGGCCTGGAGAAAGCAGAGGCAGCTGCTGGGGAAGAGTCCTGTGGTGCCTCCACTACCCCTACTGCCAGTGCCAGCCCGCCTGGCCCCACGCTGAAGGCCCACTTCCGCAGTCTGCTGGAGACCACCTGGTTCAGTGGGCTGGTCCTGCCCACCTGGGGCCGCAAGGCCTCAAGATCAGACTGGCCCTCACCCCGCCCAGAGCTGCTGGACTGCCAGAGCCCTCACCGGTAGCGCTGGTTGCTGGTGCCATGTGTACAGTGGTCACTCTCCAGCCTTCCTTCTGCCTTCCCAGCTGCCCAGGCCAGGAGTGGATGCTGGGGCCATGGCTGCTCTCCTGGAGGGAGTCCAGCTCTGACCCTGGGCCCCACCCAGGGTGGGCTGAGAGCCTCTGAGCTTTTCATGTGAGGGTGTTTATTGGATAGGACTCTTTCCCATTCTTCCCTAGAGAACACACACATGGGCTCTGGAGCCCGACAGGCCTGGGCTTGAATCCCCGCTCGTGTTCTTGCTGTGTGACCTAGGCAATACACGTCACCTCTGCTGAGCCCTCATTCCCCACATGGAAAATGGGACAACGCCACCTACCTCACAGGGTTGTCATGGGGATGCTCCCTGACACATACTCTGTCACGGGTTGGTCTCTGCTTCCTCCCTGGGACAGGGCAGAGAATCGGAGCCAGAGAACCTTCCTATAGAAAGTCTTCACGTGTCCTAGGACCTGGCTGTCACAGAGTGGTACCTTATGCAGCAGGTGTGACTCACACCTTCAGGAGTCACCCTCAGCACCTGGGGTCAGGTTGGCCCCAGCCCTCCAGCCTGGAGCTCCCTGAGGGAGCCTGCAATGCCCACTCCCGATCCCCAGTGTTGGTGTGGGGATGCAGCCTGGAGCAGGCGTCCTTGTTCTGGGCCCGCCACTGCCACCCCAGGAGGCTACAGGCCTGTCCTGAATTGACGTCAGTGCTTCCCTGAACTACCTCCCCTGCCCCAGGCATTCTCCCAGGAAACTTGCATTTCCTAGAAGCGAAGCAGCTGCCGGGACTCAGGGACTGGTGCAGGCAGGCTGAATGACAGGTCGGGCCCAGAAGGCCTCTGAAGATCTGGATGAGGACCCTGCTGCTCCCCAAGCTGGATCCCATCAGCCAGGCCCGCTGGCAGCCACCTGCCTTCAGGGGGCTGAGTTGAGCCAGAGGCTGGCAAGCTCTGGGACTTGTTTAAGGGATGCTAATGAGCCTCTGGGTCCTGGAGGCAGCCATTAAAACACCCAGCTTGTGTTTGGAAGTGGGGCCTGGCTGTGTGTGGGGTGGTGGCTTTCATGTCCATCACTGTGTGCCTACCCCTTGCTCTCAGGCTGCTCCCCCTGCTCCCGGTCCAGAAGGTGCTGAGCAGCTCCTGCTCCAGAGAGCAGCCAGCTCTGGCTCTGTGGGGCCCTCTCCCATGCATACTTGCTCCGGGAAAGCCCTTCCTCCTGGGACCCCATGGGTCCTGGTGGTGGTGGGTCGGTGGCTTACTGCCTGGTGAGAAATGCTGGTCACCAGACCCCAGCACGTACCCCTCTCCCAGGGCCTAGCATGCCCTTCATGGTGTGTGTGGAACTGTCCCAACCTTCCCATTGCTGGTGACCATGCAGCCCACTGACCTTAGCTTGGGCGGGTGGGGGGTGGTTTCCTGGGCCCACCCTTTAGAGATCCTGCCCCAGCTGGGCTCGATTTCCTCAAGGCGTGTTCTCAGGGCAGCTAAGGTGGCTTCCTGGGCCGGTCTTCCCCCTCCACCTGGGCCTGGGGCCAGCCTACTGGGGCGAGTTAGCCCTGCGTAGCATCCTGGTGGTGGGGCCCAGCCATGCCATCCCTCCTGTAGCAGCCTGGCCTGACACTAGGCTGGGATTTGGAGTGGCAGCTGCCATTGTCCCTTTACCCTGTTCATACTGGCCCAGGAAGACTTCTAGGCTGTGGAGGGGACAGGTAAGCACAACACATTGGCCACTGCAGTGACAACCTGGGGGGAGGGTCCTTGGGACCCAGAAGAGGTTCCTAAATTGGACCTTAAAGACAAGTAGGAAGTCACATGCAAAGTGGGGTCTGGGTGGACAGAACCATGCATGCAGAGTCTTCGTGAGTCTGGAGCAGGGAAATCCCCAGGTGGGGTTGGGAAGCCTGGCTAGAAATCCAGCAACCCATAAACTCAGCCCCACAACCTGAGGAATGGGGGTGTGAGCCACAAGGGATCATGTGAGGCTACTCCTACAAGGACAGAAGAATTGGAGTGGAGCTGGAGTTTCTGAACCCGGGGCTCCCCCAGGCCCTGGGCAGCCATGGGCACCTCATCAGCTCTGTCAGCCACATCCGTCTCATTGCCAGCACATGACTGGAGTACGCGCTTTATTTTTCCTTAGATCCTCCCTCCTCTTCCCTCCCTTGCCCTTCTCCCTCCTCTCCCTTCCCTGGCTTCCTCTACCTCCCTCCATCATTACACACCTATGTCCCTGCTGCTTGCCTGACACATATCACCTACATTTTGGCAAATGTTTTGAATGAAGGAGCAGCCTCTCTTGAGGGAGTGTGTCCAGGGCTCTCCACCTCCTACTGGCAGGAGAGAAGGTCACTCCCACACCCCTAAGAGTTCTCTGTGGGCTCCATGGAGCCCCCACCCCTCCCACAGAGACTCCTGAGGGTCCCAGGTGGCCTCTTGTCTACTGGCTGGGTCCCAGGTGGGGGCCTCAAGAAGTCTCCAGGGCAAAGGGTATTGCATGGGCTGAGGCCCAGGAGAGAGGGACTCCTGGGGTTGGGGGTGGGGACCCAACAGGCCCCAAGGAGCATGTGGGGAAGACGAGACCAAAGTCAGCACTTAATGAACCCAGAGTGTCCCAAGGGTGGGGGTGGGGAGGGTCCACACCCCAAAACCCTACAATTCCTTCTCACAGCATTGCTATGGAGTGAGAAGGGGGCTTTCACCTTCATAGGGGGCTCTGTCCACCAAGGCCCCTGACTGCCAGGGAACCCACACCCACAGTTCCCTTCTTTCTGAATGCTGGCCCTTCCATAGCTTGGTTGCTTGAGCCTGGGCAGAGGGGTAATGACCCCAGGACTGTCTTCACAAGCAGAGAGGCTACTTGCCACCAGGTTCTGACTCTTCGGGCTGAGCTCAGCATCAGGCCTGTCACCAAGGCCCCCTGGGCAGAAGTGGCTCAGCCCTGAGGACCCAGCACTCCCCACACTTGCATGTCCCTGCTGGGCATCCATCCTGGGGACCAGCTTTCCCCCTGCCCCCAGCTGCTGACAGCCCCACCTTGACTCATCCAGGGTCCCTGAGGCCACACTAGGAAGCAGCGGGCAGCTGGGAGAAGCATCTGCTATTTCTGCATCTTTTTTCTGGAGCATACTTGGGTGGGAGGGGCTACAGACTCCAGGGATCCTGAAGGCCAAGCCCCCCACTCCCTGGCTGAGTAAGCTTTCTTCTCAGGAGTTTGCCTGTCACAGAGGCAGGTCTGAGTACTCCAGGCCCGTTCCTGCTCTCCAGCAGGGCCCCTCCTGTTCATTTGTGCAGCTGCCTTTGCCCAAAGCACAGGTAAAGTCTGTGTGGACTGTGTCCCTTGTCCCCAAGGGGAGTGTGGCTCCAGTCCTGGCCTGGAACTCAGAGGCCTTAGAATTAGAGGCCACATGTGGCAGGGTGGAGCAGCTTGGTCTGCCCACAGCCAGGGCAGGTACCACGTTGGCAGCCCCAGACCTGACACCACAGCTCCCATGTCCCCTCTCCACTTCCGTCCAGTGCATCACTGGACATGCTGCCCCTGATGAACCCAGACTGTCAGCTTCCCCAGCTCAGCCGGGAAGTCCCACCGACACTAAGGAGAACAATGCCTCCAGAGTTGGGGGCTATGTGGGAGTGGGTTTGGTGTGGGGTGGGGGAGGTCGGGGTGAGGCAGGTATCCAGCACCTCTCTGTTTATCTTCCCTTCTCCTGTGCCCACAAAGGAGGCATCTTCTCCATGTCCCTCTGCCACCCTGAGGACATAAAATACTTCCTCAGGTCTGTCTTCCCTTGGACACGGCCCACTTACCTTCCTGTGGGACTCAGGGCTTTGTTTTATACTGTGGCCCACATGAGAATCAATTATCCCTGCTCTGTCAGCTGAGAGAGGTAAACTGAGGCAGAGCAGGGGAACAACTCTGTCAAAGTTTGGATGTTAATGGCAGAGTTAAGAGCAGCCTTTTCCCGAGTGATCAGGTCCAGTGGACACCAAGCGTGGAGGCTGTATCAGTCCATTTTGCATTGCTCCAGAGGAATACCTGAGACCAGGTCATTTATTTATTTCAAGGGGTTGGCAGGGCCACTAGGCTGAGGGTTGGAGCTCTGTCTCCTAGTCCCAGCCTGGGTCTCCATCACTGGCTAGCCGGCTCTGCTCACTGCGTTCTCTCCACACTGCCTCCTGCAGCCCAGGGGTCAGTCTGGGTGCAGGCCTGGGAAAGGTCCAGGAGCAGATTCTGTCCCCCAGCTCACGCCTCCTGTGCACCAAGGCAGCCAAAATGCAGAAGAACCAGGAGCGCTGGCTTGTCCCTGTAATCTCAGCGTCTTGGAAGGCTGAGGTGGAAAGATCGCTTGAGACCAGCCTGCACAACATAGCAAGACCCTGTCTCTACAAAAAATAAAATTAGGCATGGTGGCATGCGCCTGTAGTCCCAGCTATTCAGGAGGCTGAGGTGGGAGGACTGCATGAACTCAGGAGGTCAAGGCTGCAGTCAGCTATGATTGCACCACTGCACTCCAGGCCGGGCAACAGAGCAAGACCCTGTCTCTAAAACAAGAAACAAAGTGCACACGTGTGTGGAATGCAGCATCTGGCATGTGGACCTGACCTCACTGGGTCCCATCAGTGAGTGGGAGGCTGCCTGCTGTCTTCCAGAACATTCCCACCACTACACCTGTGTCCCTCCTATGTTCCCTGGCAGGCTTTGTGAAGGGGCCTGTTACCTACCCCTCTGGCTTCCCTAAGGCACAGCTCAAAGCTTCCTTGCCACTGAGAACCTTTTCCTGAAGAGTCTTACCCTCACCCACAGGCCTCCTCATTTCAGAGCTTTTGGTGGGGTGAGTACCAGGATTGACTCACTGCTACCAGCTGGGAGGAATTGTCCCTAGGGTTGGGTCTCTGGATGTCATATGAGAATCTAGACAAGGGCCCAGATGCCTGTAACCTGAAGGGCAAGGGCCTCAGCTGCCTGGACTTCACACAGCCCCTAG